TTTTGCATAGCCCTTCCTTCCTTCCTTCCTTCCCTCTTTCTTTCCAGGGATGTCCAGGTTAGAAATAATTTCTTCTGTGGATTGTTCCTTTGATGTTGTATCTGAAAACTCAATGTTTCAGTCCAGATCATCTAGATTTTTTTCCTGCATTATCTTCTAAGGCTTCTACAGTGTTCTATTTTCCATTTAGCATTCATTTTTGCAAAGGGTATTCAGTCTGTATCTATATAGTTTATTTTATTATTTGTTCATTTATGTGAGTACACTGTACTCTTTATTAAAAAGATTGTTTTTCCTCCATGGTCTTGCCTTTGCCCTTTGGTCAAAGACCAGCTGACTGTATTTATGTAGGTCCCAGCTTTGTATCATGTGGTCTCTGTCATCTCTTCCCTCTCCTGGATTGATGTCCGCTGCCCACAAAGCCTCTTAAAGCAGCATCATCACGTTGGGTGACACTCTTTGTGAAGACACTAGTACCTACATTAGGAATGCTCTCTTGAGTATCCCAGGACCCGAGCTTTAGGTGCTTGGTTCACTGATGGACATTGGAGACAATGGCTGTGTTGTCAGGGTCCCAGCTCAAGTGCCTCTAGAGACTATAATCAAGGGACCATCATAACAATGTGGTCAGACTCAGGCAACCAATAAGAAGGGACCCAGAGATTGACTTCATGAGGAACGCATTCTTTTTTTTTTTTTTTAAAGGTTTTACATATTTGTTTGAAAATTGGAGTTATAAAGAGAAAAGGAGGGAGGGGGTAGAAGGGAGGAAGGAAGACTTCCTATATGCTGATTCAGTCACTAAATGGTTTCAATGGCCAAGGCTGGGCCAGGCCAGAGCTTCTTTTGGGTATCCCACATGGGTTCAGGGGCCCAAGAATCTGGGCCATCCTTTGATGCCTTCCCAAGTATACTAGCAAGGAGTTGGATTGGAGGTGGAGCGTCCAGGTCTCCAAATGGTATCCATGTGGGATGCAGGACTGTGGGTTGGAGGACTAAGTTGATGTGCCACAGTGCTGGCCCCAGAAGTGTTTCTCAGGTAGGATCTAGAGAGGCAGAGGCAGGAAATAATCAGCAAAGTACAGGAGAAAAATGTAATACAAACCTGGGAGATCAAATGAGTTCTATTGGGAAAGTAGCATCATTTTTAAGAATGCAGGTCTTGGTCTGGGGAAGCAGTGACAGGTGCCATGTCCGGCCAGGAAGGTGGCAAAAAGAAGCCCCTGAAACAACCCAAGAAGCAGGCCAAGGAGATGGATGAGAAGGATAAGGCTTTCAAGCAGAAGCAGGAAGAACAGAAGAAACTTGAGGAGCTGAAAGCGAATGCTGCGGGGAAGGGCCCCTGGCCACAGGTGGCATTAAGAACTCTGGCAAAAAGTAAGCTGTTTCTTGGCACCTGAAGTGATGCTGCCCTCAACCCCACACATGTCTGAACATCTGGCGCCATGGCCAGAGCATCTTTAGTCGCCCATAGTTAGAATAAAGTGTCACCTTGGAGCCCGTTGTACATTTATAAATAAACTTTTGTAAAAAAAAAAATGCATTTCTTAAGTTTTTAATACATGATGTACATCAACCACCCAACCTCAAAGACCATTAAGGCACTACTGGCACCTTAAAACTTAGCCTAAATTGGGCCATTTCCCAATCTATCAGACTAGCGGTTCCCAGGGCTGGAGGTGTGATGACACCAGTGACGTTCAAGAGCATGCATGAGTCTGCTGCCATGCTTCTTTTGCTATAAGATGAACTCCTTGAAAGGAGTGTCAAAGTCAAATGGAGAATAAAAGTGCAATGACCATCTTCTCCACTGAGTTACGAAATCCATGGGCCCTGAGACAGTGGTATTTAAATCGCAAATGGCCACTTCACCTCTTCCTAAGATTGAAACACCTCTCCCCACCTGCTTCGTGAACTTTACTTGCGTCCCAAGTCTACAGTCCCTACCCAAACAACGAAACAATGAAATAAGCCGCTCCTAGACTACCAAAGCACCTGCGTGTACCATTGCAGACAGGGAGATGCCTGGAAGACAGGATGAGTCAGAATCATGATTTAGGAACATCACTTTGGCTGTGGAAGCAAAAACAGTATGAGAGAAGGGTGGGGACAGGAAGGCCAGTTGGGCAGCTGACAGGGTGATGATGACAGAGTAGCACTATAGAGTTGAGCAAAGTATAGGCAATGAGAATGAAAGAGATGAAAGAGATGTGGGGAGTGAGCGAACGCAAACTACATGAGCGTTATTACCATTTGATAGGAAGGAAATCAGGAGAAAAAAGTAGAGTGTGGGGGGAAGAGAATGAATTCAGCACCAGTGATGTTTAGCCTGGCACAGTCCACTTGGGTATGCCCACCGCAAAAAGTCTTGGAAGTTGTGGATATTGACCTGTGATTCAGGAGAGGAAACTCGGCTAGAGACATTCAAGTCTGGGATGCGACCACGTAAGGGAGGATGAAGGCATGTGAGTGCAAGAGGGCAGCCAGGGCCCAGTGAATGTAGTCGGAGAATCAGGCTTAAGCCTGAAGAGAAATGTTTGAAGGGTAAGCAAGAATACTGCACCAAAAAAAAAAAAAAAACCTGGGAAAGATGTGATGGGCAGATGTTCAAGAGAATCTGGCATTGCCAAACTCTCAGATATGTTGCAAGAATGATGAGGAGGTTTTTGTTTCTGTTTTCATCTTGGCATGACTGATACAGTGTAGCAGTTCTCAAGCATTTTGAGTCCTATGATTTCTTCTTCTTTTTTTTTTATTGGAAAGGCGTAAGTACAGAGAGGAGAGAGACAGAGAGGAAGATCTTCTGTCCGATGATTCACTCCCCAAGCTTTTGCAATGGTTGGTGTTGAGCCAATCCGAAGCCAGGAGCTTTCAGGTCTCCCACACAGGTGCAGGGTCCCAAAGCTTTGGGTTGTCCTTGACTGCTTTCCCAGGCCAAAAGCAGGGAGCTGGATGGGAAGTGGAGCTGCCGGGATTAGAACCGGCAACCATATGGGATCCTGATGCGTTCAAGGTGAGGACTTTAACCACTACGCTATCACGCCAGGCCCAAGTCCTATGATTTCTTATAGACTGTAACTAGCTTTTAGTCTAGTGATTAAGGCACTACCTGGGATACTAGCATCCCGTATTGGAGGACTTGGGTTCACACTGGAGCTCTGCTGCTGATTCTAGTTTCCTGCTGTTCCTGTATGCACCCCGCAAAAAACCAGGTAAGACTCAGGTACATGGGCTCCTGTCCCGCACATGGAAGACCTGGCTAGACTGAAGCCAGGAGCAAGGGGTTTCTTCTGGGTTACTCACGTGGGTACAGGGGCCCAAGCACTGTACATAAGAATATTCATTCAACACATATTGAACACATATTAAGTGCCAAGAGGTATTTTCAACACTCAGGATATAATAATGAACAAAAATATCCTGATCCTCTCTCTCTCTTTTTTTTTTTTTAATTTTTTTTCTAGTTGCTGTGGCTCTTGGCCATCTGGTGTATTTTCTTATTTATTTGTTTATTGCTTATTTCCCCTGCCCTATCCCCAAGTCCCTCCCCTCCCCAGAATTCCTCTATATCATTACTATAGCATAGCCATGATTACATCTATTATACATGATCACATCTATTATATATGACATTAGCTGGAAGAGTCAGGAGGTTAGACGAGGTAACAAAAGCTTTCCGAGTGCTTGACACATGCCAGGCAGTTTCCAAAGTATTCCATTATTACAGGTAGGAAGGCTATGAAGAAAAGGTGACCCCAGCTCTTGTCTCACATAGAATTTCCTCTTGGACAAGGCAGCAAGAAAAGCTAGATGTATTTGTCGGTCAGGAGAGGAGACACAGGGCAGGAAAACCCGAGAAGTTAGTTGCTGGTGAGCAGAATGATGGGAACAACCAGAGGGGTGGGGGTGGGGAAGACCAAAGGCCGGAAATGTCATCCTATCAAGCTGCTCAGGCTAAAACAAAGAGCCAATACAAGAGTGTGACGGGGAACTTCTTTCTACACTCCTAAACCTAGCACCACAACAAGGCTGGGATTGGGGCTCTACTGGCTAATCCTCCAACTCCAAGCCCTGCATCCCATATGGGCACTGGTTCCTGTCCCAACTGCTTCATTTTTCCTTCCAGCTCCCTGCTCGTGGCCTGGGAAAGCAGTGGAGGATGGCCCAAAGCCCTGGGATTCTGCACCTGCATGAGACACTTGGAAGGGGCTCCTGGCTCCTATCTCCTTGCTCCTGGCTTCACATCAGCTCAGCTTAGCTGTTGCGGCCAGTTGGGGAGTGAACGAACAGATAGAAGATCTTTCTTTTTCTCATTCTCTCAGCCTTTCAATTAATAATTAATAAATCTGCAGGAAAAAAAAAAAAAGAAGGGTGAAATCGCACTTGTATCCTCCTAGAAGGACTTCGTCTTGTCTCATTCCAACAGGGGCCCGGGCTAACTGCCCCACTAGCTCATCTACTGCCTCACAGCAGAGGAGGTGTCCTAGCTTGTCTTGGTAAATATACCACAAATGCAATTTTTGTAACGGTGCAACAGGTCTTGGGGTGGAGCGAGCTACAATACATCTGCTATGTCTACAATTCCCTTGCAAGAAATGCTACAGGGAAGCTAACATCACCTGTTCAGGCCCTTAATAGCGCATGCCATTTAGCTCCTTTCATCATAAAAATTCCAAGCAGTCTACAGCTCTGTGAGAGACCCAGGCTCCGAGGGGAGTCGGCTGGACGTCCGGCTTCAGGTACGAGACTCTGGTTCTAAGCAGGTGCTGACATATCGTAGCTGTCTTCTTTGGAGTCTCCATCCACTTCCAGTTACCCAAGAGAGGGGAGGGTCAGCTCAGGGTTGGGGAGGCGGCGAAGAGCGCACTGCGCTTGCGCAAGGGCGGGGCCCGCCACCCGGAAGGACGCGGCGGGCTCGGGTTGTGCGCAGGCGCAGTGCTCCCTGAAGGCGGAACTAGGGCGTCCCCGGCTTGAGCAACCCAAACACCCGGTGGGAGGAAGGTGGCGGCCGCGGGGCAGTGCGCATGCGCGAGCGGCGCTCCCGGGTGAAGTGAGAGGCGGACAGGGCGGCCGGCGGGGCTCGGACTGGGTCAGGATGGACGAGGACGTGCTGACCACCCTCAAGATCCTCATCATCGGCGAGAGTGGCGTCGGCAAGTCCAGGTGAGGAGGTGTGCGGGCCCGCGAGGGGAACGGTCAACGGCGGCCGCTCCCGAGGCCTCCCGGCCGCCCCGCGGGGCCGCCAGGGCCAGGGCCACCGGCCAAGTCCGGCTGCGGGAACCGAACCGGGGGCGGGCGCGGCCCAGGCTCCGGGGACAGAACCGGGCCGGGTCCTGGGAAGGGGCCGCGCTCCCTCCGCGCGGGGTCGCGTTCCCGGCCGCTTGTGGCGCAGCCCGGGGTCGCTGCTGTTCTTTCGTCCCTGCCAGCCGCGGCGGACGGGCCCTTCCCGGGAGCGCTTGCCGCGTCACTTTGGCCTGATTTGTCGTCGGCTTTTGCCACTTGGTGTTGGAGGAGGTCGACTTTCGGGGTCCTGGCCGGGGTGGCGTCCAGCGCGGGGTGTGACCCCGACCTCAGGGTCGTGAATTGGGGCAGGTTATGGGGACGAAGTTCTCTGGGTGCGGCCGCGGCGCCAGCTGTTAGGGCTGGGCCAGCCTGGGTACAACTCAGCAGTCACGACACTTGGGAAATGGAAAGCCTAAAGTGTGTGTTCTCCATACGGTGTGTGTGTGTTTTCCCCCAAGTTTGGCACCGTGGTAATTCTCCCTCATTCCCACGCTGTGTGCGATGCACTGAGGGGTTTCTGCATAGGAACGGATGGGGCAATGGTGCACCCTGAATTCCAAAGTCCTTGGCCGGTGCTGGTGTTCAAGGGCGGAATACAATGAGCAAGACGGGCGTCGTGGCCACCTTCTGTGATTGCCCATGTCAGAGGATTAAAAAGTTAATTGATTATTGAGGATGGGCTTAATGGGATTTCCATCATCTTTTCCGATTTTCCTGTTCTTGAGCCGTGCCTTACATAGTGAAGGCATTTGAAATGGCTGTCTTTGGAGTCAGGAAGGCTCAGCCATCATTTCGGGTAGTTGGTATAATCCGTGTTGGATTATGCGTTGAAGTGTGTTAGGTGCGGTTAGCTGAAGCAGTGAATTGGGGTTCCCTCTTTAGACCGTGGCCTGACAGCTGCATTTGTTGGTTTATCTTAGTTCATTACCTCCCCCATTGCATATGAGTCTATTTGAGATTAATCTGCTTTCATTTTTTTTTTTTCTACAAATATACTTAATGGGGAATGATTAACTACTCCGTGCACAGTTTCAACACTTTGTTTCTTTCGTGGTCTGCATCTAGGGAGGTCGTTTGCTTACTTGTCCAGGTCTAGGCACATTTTGGTCTGAGAAGCCTGTTCCTTTTTTTTTTAAAGATTTATTTTTATTATTTTTTTATTGGAAAGGCGGATATACAGAGAGGAGAGACAGAGAGGAAGATCTTCTGTCCGATGATTCACTCCCCAAGTGAGCGCAACGGCCGATGCTATGCCAATCCGAAGCCAGGAGCCTCTTCCGGGTCTCCCACGCGGGTGCAGGTTCCCAAAGCTTTGGGCCGTCCTCGACTGCTTTCCCAGGCCACAGGCAGGGAGCTGGAAGGGAAGCGGCGCTGCCGGGATAGAACCGGCGCCCATATGGGATCCCAGGCGTGCAAGGCGAGGACCTTTAACCACTTGCGCTACCGCGCTGGGCCCAAGCCTGTTCCTTTTAAGGTGAGTTCAACGCAGGAACGTTTGCCGTGGATGTGGTCTTAGAGGGCCCGTGTAGCCAGTGCGTGCTTCAGACCTCTTCCAGGACTGCGCTGGTGCGAGTGAAGCTAGCACCTGCAGGCCTCATCCTACCAGAGGATTTCCGCTTGTTGCCTAACCTGTCGTTGGAGCCGGGAATGAGGCTCCTGACACTTGTGTTGCTGTTTGCATTACCTGCTGTTTGATCCTTGACATCTCTGGTTTCTGAAGGGCTTGGCAGAGACACTTCTCAGATTCTGTTGTAAATGTTTAGATTCTGTGACGACGCCTGATGAAGCAAGCATATGGCAGAGCGTCTCAGGAAATGACAGGGGCTCTTGGAGCCCCGGGCTCTCCATTGCTGTCCCTCTTCCGCTCCTTCCGTGCCCCTTGCTGGGGAGGAGTTTGATCTCTAAGTTAGGAAAAGCAGAGTAGTTAACAGTCTCTGCTACATGTGGTCTTCATGGCGTGATGGAAGTTACACTGGACACCGAGTATTGCATGGTGAATGTTTTACACTTTTAAACTTTTGAAAACTTGAAGATTTTTTTTTTTTAAAGATTTATTTTATTTTTATTGGAAAGGCAGATATACAGAGAGGAGAGACAGAGAGGAAGATCTTCCGTTCGATGATTCACTCCCCAAGTGAGCGCAACGGCCCATGCTATGCCAATCCGAAGCCAGGAGCCTCTTCCGGGTCTCCCACGCGGGTGCAGGGTCCCAAGGCTTTGGGCTGTCCTCGACTGCTTTTCCCGGGCCACAGGCAGGGAGCTGGATGGGAGACGGGGCTGCCGGGATTAGAACCTGTGCCCATGTGGGATCCCGGGCGTGCAAGGCGAGGACCTTAACCACTGCGCCACCGCGCCAGGCCCAAAAACTTGAAGATTTTTGAAAACAGAAAATGAGCGCAGTGCTTCTTAAACATTCGATGTGGTGAATTCCTTTTAAAGTCTGCTAGACGTGTGGATTCCATAGGGAAGCACACGCGTGGACTGTAGGATACGCCTCTGGCTTGATGAGGTTTAGACTTGGAGCTTCTGGGAGAGTTGGTGGCTGCACAGCACGCCGGCTGCCTGCCTTTCTTGGTGACCAAGGCTGTTACAGAAGGATTAACGGTAACGGAAGAGAATTCCCAGGCTTGGTGTCTGGCCTGGTATCTGACACACTGTCACGGCCAATATTGCCATTATCACTGATGTTATTACTATAGTTTTTTTTTTTTAAGATTTATTTTACTTTTATTGGAAAGTCAGATATCCAGAGAGGAAAAGAGACAGAGAGGAAGAACTTCCGTTCATTGATTCACTCCCCAAGTGGCTGCAGTGGCCGGAGCTGCACCGATCTGAAGCTAGGAGCCGTGAACCTCTTCCGGGCCTCCCATGCAGGTACAAAGTCCCAAGGCATTAGGCAGTTCTCATCTGCTTTCCCAGACCACAGGCAGGGAGCTGGATGGGAAGCAGGACCACTAGAACACAAACCTGCGCACATGTGGGTTCCTGGCGGATGCAAGGCAAGGACCTTAGCCACGAGGCTACTGTACCAGGCCCTATTGTAGTGTTGTTGTTACTACTTCTTTACAAGGCCACGTTAACGTGTATTTTTGTAGTACTAATTTGTGTGGTGACTGAGTATGAAAACATACCGTTTCTATCCTTAACCTGAGCATAACAGAGCTTGTTAGGAGAGAAGGAAATTTTTATATATAATTAATTTTTTAAAGATTTATTTATTTTTATTGGAAAGTCAGATTTACAGATGAGGAGAGAGAGAGAAAGATCTTCCGACCGCTGGCTCACTCCCCAAGTGGCTGCAATGGCTGGAGCTGGGCTGATCCAAAGCCAGGAGCCAGGAGCTTCTTCTGGGTTTCCCACGTGGGTGCAGGGACCCTGCGCAAGACTTTAGGCCATCCTCCACTGCTTACCAGGCCACAAGCAGGGAGCTGGATGGAAAGTGGAGCGGCTGGGATATGAACCGGTGCCCATGTGGAATCCCAGCATGTGTAAGGAGAGGACTTTAGCCACTAGGCTACCGCGCTGGGCCCTTACGTATAATTGTTAAGTTACTAGTGCTGTCACATGATTCGTGTTGGAAGTCAGTAAAAACAGTTAGACAAAATGTTAAGTCAAAAAGTTTCAAAATGTTTGTTTGTTTTCAAATGTTGTTTGAATGAGTTACAGAGACAAAATGGCAAGGAGAGAGAAATCTTCCGCTGGCTGTAACAGCCACACTTAGGAGAGTCTGAAGCGAGGAGCTTCTGCGCCTTCCATGTGGGCAGGGACAAAGGCCTTGGGCCATCCTCAGCATCCTGTGCTGCTTTCCCAGGCCATTAACAGGGAGCCGATGGGAAGTGGAGGAGCTGGGACTTGAACCAGTGCCTGCATCAGATGCTGGCTTCACGGGCAGAGGCTGGATGACACCTGCCCCAAAGTTCAGAGTTTGACTTTAGTTTTACCTGTGATGTTGTGGCATATATTTTTTTGTGGTAGACCCATGAAAACAACTGAAAAATGGCAGTTGATTCTTCATGTGTGTTTGACACCGAGTTTGAAAATGTTCAGGGAGGCATTGTGTTTTGCATCATGGTCTGGACCAGAAAAGTAGTTAGCAGCAATAATCCCAGGGTTTTCCTTCAGCTCCAATCTGATGGCTGTTTGCTTTGATTTTATTCATGCAGGCAGGTTAGCAGAAATGTTCTACAACAGGTGTCATGGGGAGCTTCATCTTGTCAAGCTAGGTTTTTTTTTTTTTAAGATTTATTTTTATTTCAAAGTCAGATCTACAGAGAGGAGGAGAGACAGAGAGGAAGATCTTCCATCCGATGATTCACTCCCCAAATGACCGCATGGCCGGTGCTGCGCCAGTGTGAAGCCAGAAGCCAGGAGCTTCTTCCGGGTCTCCTACACAGGTGCAGGGTCCCAAATCTTCAGGCCGTCCTCGACTGCTTTCCCAGGCCACAAGCAGGGCGCTGGATGGGAAGTGGAGCTGCTGGGATTAGAACTGGCGCCCATATGGGATCCTGGGGCGTTCAAAGGGAGGACTTTAGCTGCTAGGCCACTGCGCCGGGCCCCAAGCTAGGTGTTTAGCAGCGACTTCCGTTTCCTTTTCCAAGAGCTTCAAATTACTTGTGTGTCAGAGCAGTTTAGGTAGGAGACACAACTTTAGAGTCCTCTTCTGACCTGGTGCTCCCTGCTCTTCTTCCTTTCCAGTTTCTTTACACTTGGTAGGCTCAGACCTTTGTTCTCCCACTGTAGCAACGGCACCTGTTTTCCATTCCTCCTTTTCTTTTTTTTTTTTCCCCCCTGGTGTTAGTACATCGTGTCATTCTTTTCCTATCAAAGTCTTCCCCGGCTCCTGGTTGACCCTCCCTAGCCTTGGTCAGAATACATTTGTCTGGCTCTCAGGATTTCCATTCTGCCTTGTCCTCCTACTAAGAAAGTCATGCTGCTGGTTAGGCACCGCTAGGAAAAAAACCTTTGTGACCTGACTTAGTGGACCATACATCATATTTTTACTCAGTTTGTTGAACTCAACAAAGTGTTTCCCCTTACACCCACTCGATTACAGCATTCCCAAGCTGCTGCTTTAATCTCTCAGGACATACCAGAGCAGTTTAAAGCAACAGCAAAACCAACTTTTCCTGCTAGGGTTTTGCAGGGAGAACATGGAAGTCCTACTTATTGGTAAACTGCTTTGCTGTTAGGGTTTTTGAATTGGCAACAGTTTATTGTCCTTGTTTATCTGTACTGAAGGGTTCCTGGGCGAAGACATTTATCAGCCCTTATGTGCATCTCCTAGTTGGGACCAAACTTTACAGTCCTGAACTCATTTGTCATAGCGTTGGAAGTAAAAGTCAAGTTTCTAAGGTATTTTTTTTTTTTTTTTTTACTGTCTTTTAGCCTGCTCTTGAGGTTCACGGACGATACTTTTGATCCAGAGCTTGCAGCGACTATAGGTAAGTCCGTATCTGCAACTTTGACAAGTGTGCCTTCGGGCTGCTCTGTGTTGTCACCCTACTCCTTGCTGTCCCACTGCTTGCATGTTCTTTGGAATGGCACCTGTTTCAGAACCTAACTGTGCTGCTCCTCCGTCTCTGGAGCCTGTGTAGAGCTCTCCCAGGGAATGTGCCCAATCCCCGGGGTCCGTGGTGCTGGGTGGTCCTGCCGATAATGAGATGATCTGCCTACACGTTTCTCTCGTGTGTATGGATTATCTTTTATTTTGCAACACACAACAGCGTCTGATTATCTGTGGTGTGCAGGCACTAACCTGAGTGGCGGGGCGGTCACGATGACTAATGCAAGCTTGGTGTCTGTTATCATGGACTTAATAGTGCGCCAATGTTTTATGCTGAATATTTGCTGCAGTGTGTGGCATGGATTCTCCACATATTTGTTTTGGGTATTAGTTACTGACTAAAGATTATCAAGCACAGTGACACCTAAGAGCCTTTTTAAAATAGCACGGGCTGATGGGACCTCATGGAATATCAGAGGTGAAGATTCCAGCATCCCCTGTTCAGAGCTTGAGTACACGGTGGGGCAGAGGCCTCCGGAGCCAGCCAGGAGTGCTGCAGGAGAGCGAAGCAGTTGAGCTGGGTTGTAACCTCGCTGTGCTGTGAGCTTGACGTTCGTCTTTAGCCGTTTTCCTTCATTGTCTTCATCTGTAAATTGAAGGATTTGGGGGCAAGAGAAGACCATTTTCTTCCAGCATCAGTTTCCTTATCTGATAAGTGGAATACATGATAACCAGCGTCAGCACTGTCGGCCTGTTCTGCGTTTTTCTCAACTCGCCCTGTTTGCATTTACAGTGTGATTTTGTTTTGTTTCCTGTGAAATATTTTCCAACCCAAACATCATAAAATTAGCAAAAGAATTTCTGTATATTATGTTCAAGTCCCCAAATATATTACCTTTACTTTATCATTTTCTCTCTACATACACACATGATAATTCTTTTTGCAAAGTTAAGAGTGAATTGTCTTTCACATATACGTATTTTATTTTATGAATATTTATTATTTATCTGAAAGCAGAGCTACAGAGTGAGGGAGACTGGGAGATCCATCTTTCATCTGTTGGTTCACTCCCCAAATGACCGCAATGAGTTTCTTGCAGAGAAAAGACAGTGTAGCTGTTCCATATTTTTGCCCTGTTGCTCCATTGTCCCCTGACAGCCTGGGCTTCAACAAATAGTAAGGACACTACGTAACCACGTCATTCCAGCCGTGGTGGTCGTCAGCTGGTGATTTTTCAGCTGTGACCATTCTGCCCACATTTCTTCACTTGGATTCGAAAGGAAGGGCGCCACTTCTTTTTTTCTGCAATATGAACCTGTGATGCCTCTAAATTTTTATTCTATCAGGTGTTACTACATTTATACATTTATATGTATTGAAAGAATCACTTAAACCCTAATACTTAGAAAGCCACTTAAATTTACCTTTGATGTGTTATTCATGTTGCCTGGAACAGGCCTAGTAACGGATAGTGAGGAGTAGAGGAATGGTAACTGCAGGGAAAATAAACTTGTTTCAAGTTTTACTGAAAGAATGAGCTTATATGTAACATGAAACTAGCTATTTTCATTTCAAACCCACATGGAATCTGGGAACTGGCAGAATGTCATGTCTTGGGTTGTCCTTAGTGCTCTAACAGCTTTGTCTTTTGCAAAACCAAATATCAAGATTATAGTATGCTAATAAAAGTGCATATAATCTGTTCCCTAGATGGACCGTGGATTTTGAATACATTTAAAAAGTAACTTTTGCATTTGTGTATCAGATGACTTTCTGCCATGGATTATAACCAATACAATCGTATTTGTTTTTTTTTTTAATTTATTGATTGTTATTATTTTTCATGATACAGTTTTGTAGCTATAAGCATTCCCCCCTTCCCTTCCTCCCTTCCGATCCTCTTGCCATTTTCCCCATATTGTTGTAATAGTATAGTCCTCAGTAAGTCACAAGTCCAGCATTCTGAACAGATACATTTGTTTATTTGGAAATGTGGCAGAGGAGAGAGAAAGATCTTCTGCTTGCTGAGTCACTCCCCACATGGCCACAATGGTCAGGGCAGGCTGAAGCCACAAGCCAGGAATTCCATCTGAGTCTGCCATGTGGGTGACGGGTCAACACCTGACCCATCCTGTGCTGTTTTCCCAGGCACATTGGCAGGGAACGTGGTGGGAAGCTGAGGAGCGAAGACTCAGAACCCCACACTCTGACATGTGGCATGCCAGTATCACAAGCAGTGGCTTAACTTGGCGCGCTGCAACATCAGTACCACAGGAGTTTTATTGTTTTTGAACAATAGTTCAGTTGGTCATGGCCCTGTGAAAATACCATATCTAGCCCTGCCGATGTGGATATGAGATCCTGTCAGGCCCTGGTTTCCTGTCTCATTTCCTTAAGTTTCTTTGCCTTTCTTTGATGATGAAAAATGAGCCTGTTTCTAAAATTGACTCACTAAGCTGTGGGTATGGTGCATCAGATCCACCTGGCCCTGTGGTGTCCCGGGTCACCAGACTCACTGGTCATTCCTCTCCTGGGACTCTGCAGTCAGCAGCTCCTGTTGTGAGGTCAGGTCTTCAGGGGGTTTTGTTTCTCTGTGTTAACAAGAGTCCTTGGCTCTGAACAGAAAGTAACTACTGCCTGCTCTTAGCCCCTTGACTCATCAGAGCCCTCTCTGCCATGATCAGAATTGCCAGAAGAACCTAATGACTGTTTCATCAGAAAGCAGTGGAAGGCGGAAGCAGTGGGAACCACCTGATGATGCACATCTGAGCCTCGATTTTACCCTTAGCCTGTTGGATCAGGAATTAAAAATAGCTGCCCACACTTCTTGCTGCATGCTTTGCAAATAAATTCTTCGCTCCTCTGATGTCTGTGACTGGCATGCTGTGCGTGAGCCCTTTACAAATAGCTGGTCCCGGAAAACCTTACCTTCTTCAAAGTTGAAAAGTCAAAGAATTCCTCTCCAGGCCCCTGCAAACATTGAAGAACCAAAAAAGTAAAGAACTCCTAAAAATATTGTCCAAAAAAGATGAATATTGTGACTAAACATTTGCATGACTTTAGAAAGCTTAGTGAAGTACTTAGCACTAATATCAAAGCAGTGGATCCAGGACGCTGGGAAGCAGTACTGTGACCACATGAGAAAATGCAGGGTAGGGCCCGGCGCGGTGGCACAGTGGCGCAAGTGGTTAAGGTCCTCGCCTTGCACGCCTGGGATCCCATATGGGCGCTGGTTCTATGCTGGCAGCCCCTGCTTCCCTTCCAGCTCCCTGCCTGTGGCCTGGGAAAGCAGTCAGTCGAGGACGGCCCAAGGCTTTGGGACCCTGCACCCACGTGGGAGACCTGGAAGAGGCTCCTGGCTTCGGATCGGCATAGCATCGGCCGTTGCGCTCACTTGGGGAGTGAATCATTGGACGGAAGATCTTCCTCTCTGTCTCTCCTCTCTGTATATCCACCTTTCCAATAAAAATAATGAAAATAAATCTTTAAAAAAATTTTTAAAAAATGCAGGGTAAACTGGATGGAAAATGAACAAAACCATCACTGAGATGAAGGTGAAATTGGAAGGAAAACCAGGATGACAGAGAACTATCACAGAAAACAAGACAGAAAGTGGTTCTAAAATGGGAAGAGTGGGTAGACTGTACTAAAATGAATGGAAAATGTTAGTTGAGAAGCTGTCAGGGCCTGGCGCTGTGGCTTGGTGCGTAAAACTGCTACGGGCAGCACCAGTAGCCTTGCGTGCAGAGGCCCTAGCGGCTTCACTTCAATCCAGCTCGCAGCTAACGCTCTTGATAAAGATGGAAGTTTTTTGTTTACTTCTCTCTAAAAGATGTATCTATTTCTTATTTATTTGAAATGTAATGTTGTGGAGGGAAGGAAAGACAGAGAAAGAGAGATCGTCAGTCTTTTGGTTTACGCCCTAAATGGCTGCAACAGCTGGAGCTGGGCCCTTCTGAACCCAGGAGCCAGGAGCTAGTCTGGGTCTCCCTTGTGGATAGCAGGAACACAGGTTCTTGAGCTGGTACCTGATTCTCTCCAGGCTGTGCGTTAGCAGGTAGCTGCAGTTGAAAGTGGAGCTGATTCTCCATGCACCAGTGGCAAGGTTTTGTTGTTGTTGATGTTAAGATTTTATTTATTTGTTTGAAAGGGATAGTTAGAAAGGGACAGGAGAGAGAGAAAGAGAGATCTTTTGCCAGCTAGTTAACTCACAGGTGGTCAGAATTGCCACAGCTGGGCCAGGAGCCAGGAGCTTCTCCCGACTCAGCATGGATGCAGAGGCCGGAGGCCCTGGACTATCCCCCACTGCTGCCAGGTGTGTTACCAGGGAGCTGAATAGAAAATGGAGCAGCTGGGGCTCAAACTCCTATGCATATGGATGCCAGCACTCAGGCAGAAGCTCAGCCTCTTGTGTCCCAGCACTGACCCCAACGGGTTCTTAACCACCATGCCCAATGCCTGCCTCAGAGTTGGTAAGCCTTGGAATAGCAAAGTAGTGTTTTAAATGTTACTTCTTTTTTTCTAATAAAAACTTAGAAATTGTGAAACAAACAAACAAAAAACACCCTTTTTTGTATTGATTCACCAATTTTTGCTTAGCCTATTTCTAAGATTGATAGAATTGGCAGCTAGTGGGTTGAGCTGCTGCCTGCCTTCCAGAGTGGTAGGGGCCCATATACCTGAGCCATCCTCTTGTGCTTTTTCCAGGCTGTTTGCAGGGAACTGGTTGGAAAGTGGAGCAGCCAGGACAGGAACTGGTGATCCTGTGGGATGCCCGCATGGCCAGCAGAGGCTTAACTGGCTATCCCACAATACCAACCTCAGCCAAGCTCAAGGCAAACTTTGATTGTGATTGGTTGACTTAGATCATTCATTCTTCTTGCTCTTTAAAATATCTCCCTAAGGTGGCCCAGAGTTAACTCCTAGCTTTTTCCTGG